GTGGGACTTTTGTCATTCTTTAACAGCTAATATAATTATCTTGTTAAAATTGAGTGATATTTGTATGTAGCAATGAAGCATCACTTTTTTTTTTTACACAAAAACAAAATATAGAATCTGATAATTCTATGGTTAGAAAATCGTTAAAAATGTACACAACAAAATAAATAACTTTTTTTTAGATAAAATTTACTTTTTCTGAGGCCGAGTATTCAGTGCTTTTTGTTATTGTTACTTTGTTATTCTAACAAAATTTGAAGGAGAAAAATAAATTTGAAACAACAGCAAAATAATAATAATATTGTTATCTCTTTTAGAAATTCATTCTTCATTATATTGTTGCTCTGAAGGCACTTCTAAATGTTTCATCAATGCAATTTTATGACTTTTTCAGAAATATGTACATATAATTGTTGCATTATGAAAGTACAAGTAGATCAAAATGTTGTATTGTAGACTCATGTTAAAGAAATATTCTTTAACATAAACTAATTAGAAATTGGTCTAACCTATATAACTCAAATGCTCAACAATGACTTGGGATATGAAAACCAACAAATCTATGTTAGTAGACATATATTTTATAGCTTCAAATATTACATTTATTTATAGTATGTTTGCTTTCATATTTTTCAAAATACGCTTGCCGAAAATAGACATAACTCACACCAAAAATATTTAGAAGAGTTGAATGAGAAGGAAAAAAAACATTAAAAGGATGAACTTTGTCAAAGTGAGATCATATGCAATACTTCAATCAATTTTCGATCCTTAAAGTATGCATAATACCCACTGATAAAATTTAGTAAAAAGAGATACTTTACAATATAAAAGTAAAAAATATTGGCATGCAAAAGCTATTAACTCTTAAATGGTTTTTTAATTAACAAAAAATCTCATCCTTGTATGTGAAGGAATGATGTTGTTGAAAAAAAAATTAGAGATTTGGGGAGATTCTTTTATCGTACCTTCAACACTTCCAGTAAAAAAAACTTGTCCGAATAGTCAATTAACATTGTTATTTAATCTGCACTAACTATAACAATAAATTTACAGAAATATAAACAACAAAGTTTAAAGTATGTACTAAAAAACAACAATTAATAATATAAGCATAAATTAATGACTACAAAAAGCATATTAGGATCTGTATCAATAGAATGAAACAAAATGAAAAAAAAAATTGAGCCCACTGAATGCACAATATCCCCTAAGAAATTATTCTCCTCTAGTACCCGAGGTTTATGGGAATAACTCATCTCATGATAGAACAATTGTATTCACCAGTATATTGATACAAAAATAGTGGTGTCAATGAGTCACTCAACAGGAGCAAAGTTCACAAATATTTAACTGTCCAGAAGAAGGAGTTCAGATTTTTCCTTGTTTTATAATAAAAGAATAATCCTTTATTTATAAACAACAAAGGGTAGTGTGAATAAATATTTATTATGCCTTATTGGAAAGGTCACAACTCTTTGAAAAAATTATAACCCTTCGTTGTAACGACCTGATTACGTTGTTATGGAAAAGTCAATGAAGAAAGAATTGGGGCCAAAAAACTCATTCCTAGTAACTTGGAATTACTTAACTTAATCCAGATTTGGAAGAAATTAGAGTCATTAAGGTGTAGAAAAAATCTTGTAATGAATAAGAGATCAAATTGTAAATTTTATAACATGAGTGATAGATAAGACGATAAGAAACTCGTAGCACTTTATAGAATCGAATTTGGACGAGCCCGAAATTGATCTTTTCGTGAATGGTACATTCTGTCCGCGCAGAGGCCGCTATAGCGGGATTTAGGCCATTGGTGCGGCACCGCTACAGCAGGATGGGTCAGCTGGAGCGGGATAGACGCATTTTAAGTTGCTTATAAACCTTAAGAACACCCTATTTAGTACTTTTTGACTTTTAGGATTAAGGAGCGATCTCATATGAGTTTTAACATTTTTTCACTATTTTTAGGCAAAAGATATGATATTAACTCTCTGAATTCATTTTTTCGATTCGTAAGAGCTATTTCTTATATCGATGAGAAAGGGTTTTAATCTAAGAATTATGATGGAAAAAATTCTAAATATGGTATTATGATCTTAGATTTGGTCTAGGGTTATTGGGTTTGTAATAATTCGAATAATTAGACCTTTGATTGTTGATCCTTTCGTATATTAATTGATTGTGATTGTTGTGTGTGATTGAGGATCGGATTGCCACATTCTGGCAAGCAAACTTGGATCGATTGTCACGTTCCGGCATAATATTGGATCGGGTTGCCATGTTTTGGCATAACTATAGGATTGAGTTGCCACAGTTGTGCAAGCTAACTGGGATCAAGTACCATGTCGTGCACTAACAATTTGAGTTTGAGTTCCGTGAGAGGACCAATGATGTGTAAGCATGTGAAATGTGTTGTTGAGTTGTCATGTTGATAATGATGTTATATTGATATATTTATGCATGTTATTATAATGTTTGCTCGACTTGTTTATATTGCACAAGTGGGATAGCCGTGTGATCCCACCAGTACACAGTGATTGTGTGATGATTTTGCACCTGCTCTGATTTTTGTTGAGTACATGACATCTTCACGCGACTATTGACACACTTCGTTTAGGGGATCAGTGACTAATTCGAATTCAAGAGTGAGCTAGTTCCTCCGACTGCCTTGAGTTCTCTTTGTTTAACTCTACTCTCTTCGGACTCAAACTATTATTTAAGGTGTTGTCTAGTACGGGTTGTACCACTTGTTCTTAGATTTGTC